GCTGCTGCTCGGGCTCGTGCTGCCCTGGCGGCTCCAGGCCATGGCGCGCACGCAACAGCGCTTCGTCCCGCTCCTCGTCCCGCTCTTCGGCCTTTCAGACGGGACCTTGGCTAAACGGCCTAGGATTTTCCCCTCCTGAGCCGAAAGTTTAAATGGTCCTTCTCTTTCCGTAGATCTGAACGGCGAGTAATGGTCAGCGCTCCGCTAAGGGAAGCCAACTGCACCTAGGCATGGCCCTAGACAGAAAAGCAAAAATCACATATTTACTTATCACATACTTACTTATCAATGCCCATTCTATTTAAACAAACTCTAGCCTGTAGGTGTAAATGTTCTGCTTTTCTTAATAGTTTATGTTTTGTTTTATGTTTGAAATGTCAGTGATACTTGCCTTGTAGAAAGTATTTTGTAGAGTCCTTAATTGCAGATTGTGGGCAATGCTGCTTAGTGAAGTATTTGATTAAGATGCAAACAACCAGCAGCAGTATCTTTTCAAACAGTAATCATTTTTAATGGCAAGAAAACCCTGCCTGTTCTGCTCAGGCATTTTTTCTCTTTCTGAGGTACGAGTGTAATAGGAGAAGATTCCAATACACAGGTATAAGAACACAATACTAGAACTGCATGCTGGGGGCACAGAGCATTCAGTATATCCACAAGGATCAATCTCTTGCTAGGTCACAGTCTCTTGCTAGGTCGCAGTTGGGCCATGTATGAAGACCAAGTCATCCTGTGTCTTCATCACTTTAAAATTGGCAACCTTGCACTTTTCTCACTTTTTTTCCCCCTTTTCCTTCCTTCCTTCCTTCCTTCCTTCCTTCCTTCCTTCCTTCCTTCTTTCCTTCCTTCCTTCCTTCCTTCCTTCTTCCTTCCTTCCTCCCTTCCTTCCTCCCTTTCCTCCTTTGAAACAGATCTATGACCCTATGAAATTGCATTTTAACTGTTTATCTGCCAAGTCACTCTCAACTGTCTAAAGAATTATTTAATAATGTTGTATTCATCAACAGATAACTACAGCATGTAGAGTATTACTTTGTCCTCCTAAAAAAAATGTACTGAACACGTGGGAGAAAGAGTGCTAACTGCTAAGAAATCCAGTGAATTTTCATTAGTACTCTTGTCAAAGGAAGACAGGTTTGAGTGGGAGAGGGCTTGGCTGTACAGATTCTGTGAATCAACTGTGGTTGATTAAAACCAACAGAGAGTAAAGGAGCCTCTTATTGATGTCTACGATTTATACCTTTTTCTTTAGAAGGGTACTCTGCTTGCCAAGTTTTCTCACTCAAAATAATCTCTGGATAATTTCTCCTGTGAACACTTTCAGCATCCAAATTTTAGACAGTTTAACCAAGACTGTAAGATCTGAAAGCACAGTACAGTCCTAATTCTTTGCTCAGTGTTCCAGATTTTCATGTGAAGAGATTACAATTTACACAGTAATGATGAGTCAGATCAAGCTAGACTTGAACTGGTGTTATCCTGGTTATGGAGTGATGCTTATTGCTGTCAATAATTAATAATCTTCTCCTAGCTATGGACCTGTCTTTGTTGTTAAATAAAATAAAACAGTTTCTGAGATATTTTTGTTGTCCTGTCATTGAAAATCTGAAGGTGAATATTGGATCTCCTTCCTGAGGAGTGCATGAACACTATTGTTGTGAAATAGAAATAAAAATTAAACCTTGTTTAATGTCCACATTCCCGCAAAGACCTAAACCTTCACAATGTTACAATCACTGTTGGGATAACTCACCCTGAATAAACATGCAGCAATGTGCTACATACTGCTTTCCAAGTCTCCAAAACTTCACAGGCAGGGCTTACATTCTAGCAGTCATATAAACAAGAATATCCCAAGTGACTTCGTTTGGATTAAAAGCTTTCGAAGAATGGCAGTTACTGCCCTGGAGACTTGACCTGTTTTTTTTTTTTTTTTCCCCCCCTCTATAGAATAGGGCATGACACTGGGCAGTAGCAGAGTAAATTATTTCATGCCCAGCTGCCACTTTTATTCAACTGTACCCTAGTAGGGACTGAGTTAGCATATCAAGTTCTTGTACTAGCTAAGATGCATTGATATGGCTCTATCCTCTCAGTTACAAAAAGAGAATTCATTTAATTTCATATGTCTCTACAGACCACCAGTCAACTGTTGTTCTTTGTTCTTCATTTGAGCCAAAGACCTCCAAGGAGAAGATTTCTGCCTCCCTGGCCCTGGTTCCCTGTGGTCTGAACACTGAGCTGAGCAACCTGGGAGATCTTGGTTCTTTCCCTCATTCTGGCATTGGCCAAAATTGTTTCATTTTCCTCTCGGTTTACCAATCTGCAGTGCGTGATGTTGATTTTCTTTGCAAGATATTTTGAGCACCGTTTTAAAGAGATCTGGGCATTACTATCAATGGAGTTCCATAAGAATAAAAACTAAACTCTTAAGCATAGTTTTAGAAACTGATTTAACTCATACTGTTAAAACTTCAAAAGAAT